TCCTGCAAGCCGGTAATGCCACAACTCTCCCCCAGGGAGCTCAGCGATGGCTCTCAGGAACCTGCAGAGGCAATGTTGGGGCGTCTGGTGGTCTGAGAGTGGCTGTAGCAGCCCCAGACTCTAGAAATGTGGGCAGCCGAGTACAGAATTGGAAGGTAGGGGGGCATTGTGCAGTCACCACCGGGCCGATGACAATACAAGGGAAGTCCTGTGATTTTGGGGTCTTAGAACACCTCCAATCACAGCTGCGAGGACCGGAAACTGGCAACTACCCCTGCAGACCTTTTTATAGACTTGGGGGTCCTCCAATGCTGTCATGCAGATCCTGACTTCTCTAGCCAGTGAATGACCTGGAGAAAGCAGGTAGCCAGTGAAGCCGAGCAGACAGGACGGCACCTGTGAAATCCCGAGGTAGTGATGAAAGCTCCCCTGTATGTGACCTCAAATGTTCACTATAAATGAGGCTCAGGGTCCCCACCCCCCACTCCGCTGGCCACAACAGGTTGGGAGATGGTCAGCTCTGTACCAGTGCGGCATCGGAGAGAGACCGCGGTTTAGGACACGAGCCCAGTCTGTGGCAGATCACCGGCCAGAATTCTCCTTCAGGACAGAAGAATGCAGCTGAATATCGGCAGGAAGTAGCAGATTGTTCATATAAAACCTAAAATGACCTAAATTTCTCCATTGCGGGACAGAGGAACTCTGCAATAGTTGTGTCATCCTGATGTCCATTCACCTCTTTTGGCGTTCTCCCTCCAGAAGGGGGCGCCTCGGCTCTCTGGGTCAGTCACCGCTTCTCCATTCATAGGACAGTAGACCGTCTTAAAGGAGAACTATGGGGTTAAGGCTTTTCCCCATAGTTCTCCTTAGGGTAACGGGAGGACACAAACTAGCGTCCTCCCATCACCCTAAGCTCAGTATATAGAGAGCTACAGCTCGCGGTATACTGAGACGCCGCAGCCAGAGCGGAGCCCGACATCGATGTTGAGATCCGCCCAGCTGCGTGAGTGACAGCTGGCTCCGCCTATCTAGAGGCAGAGCCAGCTGTACCCGCCCCCTCCGTTCCGCCAGTCAGCGCTGGAGGATCGGAGCGGGGAGTGGGGAATCCAGCTCCTCCCGTCACGGCAGAGACCCGTGACAGGATCGAGAGGTGAGAGAACGCCGGTATGTGTTCGCTCACCTCCCGATCTGCTGAGCCGACCTGTGACAGTCTCATTGTCACAGGTCGGCCAGAACTATGAGGGGAGTGGAAAGCACTCCCCCCCCCTCATAGTTCTCCTTTAAGGATTTGCCCGTGTCCATTGGTGAGCAGCCGTTACCAACACTAGACACCTCGGAGGCCCCGACTGACCAAAGTCTATAAGTGTCAGGCCCTTCCCTAAGACTCCATTAGGGGGGGTGGAGGTTTGGGTCTAAGCAAACCACAATGGAGGAGCCAGGAAACAGCACTTGGTGGACAGAAGGTCTAATGTACCTCCAAGGGGCAGTAAGAGGTCCGGTCCCTGTTGTGGGAGGGAGAGGTGCTGAAAGGTACCAACTTCCACAATGGGTGCAGCAGCAGCAACAACCGCCACCACCGCCACCATCAAACGCTCCTGAAGAGGTGAATGAACTCTGGATAAGATAAGTACCGAGTTCTTGGATCCCTCAATGGACCTGAAGAAACAGACTTCAGAAGAAGTATAAACGTGTTATTTTGTTTCCTGTTAAATGTGAACATTTGATGAGAATGCAGCAGAAAGAAAACACGAAACCCAGCAGGGGACATGAGAGCCGGGTCAGACCTCGTCTATAGCACAAGAGGCATCAAAGGGTGACATCCACTACCTGGTCTGTGACCCAAACCTCAGTTCAGATGGAAGGTTCTGACCTACTCAGCCACGGCACGGTGTGGAGGAGAGGGTCAGCAGCCGCAGAGATGACATGAGAGCCGGAGAGCCGGGACGGGTCAGACCTCGTCTATAGAACAAGAAGGATCTCACTACCTGGTCTGTAACCCAAACCTCAGGTCAGATGGAAGGTTCTGACCTACTCAGCCATGGCACAGTGTGGAGGAGGGGTGGGTGAGCAGCCGCAGAGATGACATGAGAGCCGGAGAGCCGGGACGGGTCAGACCTCGTCTATAGAACAAGAAGGATCTCACTACCTGGTCTGTAACCCAAACCTCAGGTCAGATGGAGGGTTCTGACCTACTCAGCCACGGCACAGTGTGGAGGAGGGGTGGGTGAGCAGCCGCAGAGAGGACATGAGAGCCGGAGTGCTGGGACGGGTCAGACCTCGTTCAGATGGAGGGTCCTGACCTACTCAGCCACGGCACGGTGCGGAGGAGGAGCGGGCGCAGGGAGGGTCAATGACATTTATAAATTTTGTGTTTCACAGATTGCGCCGTGATTTTTTTTTTCTTTCACTTGGAGATTTACAAACATTTTGCCTACAAATGGTGAAGTCCGATGGCAGCGGCTCCGCCGGCAGGACGGAGGTATGATGGTAATTGTCTCTATAAACAAGAAAAACTTTACAAGTTCAGGAAAGTAAAAAAAAAAAAAGTGCTTTGCGTGTGATCTCCGCATCTCTTCCACACACCAAAAGCGCCACAAACAATAAAATGAAACTTTTTCGGAAACTGAGCCGGAGGCGGCAGGAAAATATTACAGTAATTGTTGAAAATGGGCAGCCGGATCATAATACTTCCAGAGCCTGCGCCTGCAGCCCATTCTGCACAAAACCATCATCAGCGTTGTGGAGCCTTGTACAGCGGCTCATCAGGGAGGGGGGAGTTCTGTCCAGAACACAAAGGGTTAAACCCGAGCATGTGACGGCGGGGCACCGCTATGGTACACGCCCACCCAAATAAAAGTAACCAAAAAAATCCCAAAAATAAATTACATTTAACATTTTAAGACCCTTCCGGGGGGAAGAAGACGGACATTAGACAAGCCGGACACATGTAGAAGACGGACATTAGACAAGCCGGACACATGTAGAAGACGGACATTAGACAAGCCGGACACATGTAGAAGACGCACATTAGACAAGCCGGACACATGTAGAAGACGCACATTAGACAAGTGTCTAGTGTCTTATGTATGGAGCCGAGTCACTTCAGTGAGGCCGCTCCCAGAACACAAGATTCCCCCAAAGAAATCCAGATATAAAAGTAATAAGGATCCCAAACCAACCGAGTCCAGAGGATTGTTTACTGAATGTTACAATAAGAGAGCCAACGCATTCCGGGGGTCCACACATGCCGCCCTTCATCAGGGCTAAACTATATCTCCACGCATACACACTCTTGAATAGGGTTGCACAGATACCAAGTACAGTACTCAGTACAAGTACCGATACTTTTGAGCTCCAAGACTACCCTAGAGAAAAATTCAGAAGTTAGGAGGCCGCTGTCATCTGTAGGGAGCACACGGAGCTCCCGGGATTTGTACATCTGTTATAATGTACGATTTTGTTTTTATAAATATAAAGTGATCACCGATACCAGTTGTGCGAGTATGAGTACTGATACATTTTTGTTTATTTACATGTGACAGTTTTTCTAAAACAATACAGACCAATGTTTTCTGGACAGTGGTGGAGCGCCGGAGCCCGGTCCCGGCTGCAACTCTGGTAGTTCTCATGAAAATGCCGAGTATCTGAACTGGTACTCGAAAAGTATCTGTGCATCCCTACTCTTGAACTTTATTGTAGTGTGAAATGCCAATAGCACAAAAACAGCCTGCATCCCTTAGCTTCTCTGCTCCACCATCCATCCATCCCTGCTCCCCCACCCCCCATCTGTCGGCAGAGACATAGGGAAGCAGAGGGGACACAGAGCCGATCCAGCTGCCAGAACCGTCAGGAGGCTGAGCAGGGCAGCACAGGGATGAGAGCTCGGCTCCGGTGATAGGGGGCGGAGCACAAACACTGATCGATCACTGCTGTTTGTAAATAATTGAGGACATAGTGATTTTTATGTCCCCAGTTGTGATTGAACAGGAAGTGCTATACATTATACATCACTTCCTGCTCATTTATGAATGAGGACATAGTAAATATTTACTATCTGCTCACTTTATGAATAAGTACAGAGCCTTCCTGTCCATTCATGATTGGGTTGATGGTAAAACATTTACTAATCTCTAGATTGTGAAGGAACAGGACGCCTCTGCACGGGGAGCCTCTTGTTTATTGAAGGCTGGGGGGCTACAGAAAAAGGAGGAGGACTCAATCTATTTTTGTATTTCTAAAAGGGAAATACCAAGAGTGGGTTTGGACACCCGATATTTCCCCAGAGCCACTTACAGTAAACTAAAAAAATATTTAAAAGTTTTATTTAAAAAAAAAAGTAATTTTCAGTCTCGGCCTGACAAATTGTGAAATTTCTAAAAATATTAATTTTGGTGCGTCCCTAAAAACCAAAAAAACCCCCACTCTGTACTCGTGCTCACCATTGGTGTGTCGCCCCCTTCCTGCTCATTAGACAAGAAGCTTTTATAGCATACAATAAAAGTTGGTGCGGTGGCGAGCACAGCGGTCCTACATTACCAGGATCCTGCACTCTGCCCCCCCCTCCCCCCTAGAACCACCTTTGAAAATCCCCGAAATTCCCCACCTGTCCCATCAGAACTCGGCCTTTTAATTCCGCCTCTCCACCACCTGCCTGGTTTGGATGACGCCAGCTTCGTTCCCGGAGCTCCATTGTTACCCCTATAATGGCGCACCTGCCCTGCTAAAACTAGTTTTATAAGATGGGCGAGATATTGGAGTCTTTCATCCCCTTGCATATAAAATGGTTTCCTCCTGCAAGCTGCTCCACGCCTCCCCTTCAAGCCTATTAAACCCTAAATTGCTTATTGCAAAGTGAAAAAAAACCCAAAACAAAACGTGTGTTCCAGTAGATTGGAGTACAGAGCGCTCACAGATGAGACCAGCGGCACGCCGGCCCTGATGGCGGCATTTGCAGCTCTATATTTGCCCGGCAGGTGAGCGTTCATCGGTGAG